TAAATGTTATTAAAGATATTGTTTCAAAGCCACATACATTTCCCAATTTAAATTTATCGATTTACTGATCTATTTTTTATAATTTTATTTAAGGAACTATTTTATATCTTAACAAAAGTGTAATAGAATATATTTTTATATTGCTTCTTTATTTTACTATACTTACCCTAAAAGTGGTGCCAAATTGTAGATATGACGTAAAATATGAATTTACCAACCTTTCCAAGATTGCATAGTTTCGCGATAGATAACATATTAATAACCTGTGATGTGAACGTCAGACAACGGCAGTAGATTACCTGGATATATTTCAAATATAATCTTTTTTTAAATTTCACACCCATCCATATTTTAGTATCGTTTAAAAATCAATTATAAAAACCATAGACAATACAATGATTTACTCATAATAATCGTTCTTCTGATTAGATGACAAAGCATGTCTAAATTGCGCACTCGTCCTTCGCGGTCGTTCAGAGCGTTCGACAAAAAAACTGGTTACGAATTCAAATAGGTACTTCACCGACAATAAATTTATTAATGCGCAATTTGAACATCATGACAAGTGCGCAGTTACCTAGCTAACATAAATTTTATCATGTCTTATGATTCGCTGTATCATGTGTGCTTGAGACACGTGTAGTGATTAAAGCATAGCAAATACTAAGTAAGGCCAGATAACAACCACGTAAATATGACGTATTAGAGCAGAGAAGAAAGGATGCTCTTTGCTTACATTTGCTCTCTTGCTAGATTACACTAAACCAAATTGGAGGAGCAAGGGAGAGCGGAATATATGCTTGATATAAATTATTACAACTGATAAGTTATTTTTTCCGGCTTACTTCTAGTTGACTTTCAACTATCGTTTCCATGCGAAATTATGGCAAGTATTTTCTGAGTGATTTTTTGGAATGTTTTTTTTAGTGATGGTAATGGATCTGCTGCATCCGCCTGCGCTAACGGTTCATGCTGGCGACGCCAGTGGAGAATTATAGGATTAATAGTCAGATCAGTTAGACATCATCGACATGTCAAAATCGCGAGTAATTTATCACGATCGTTTCCATGGGGAACCGCGCGGAGGTAAATTTCACATGGTACATTGCAAGCAATGGGTTCGTTTACATGGGGAACCACGCGGAGGTCAACTTCACATGGTACATTGCAAGCAATGGGTTCATCATTACTGAGAATCCTATTTTCTCCTTATTTTGTAATGTTAACGTTAGGCATCATACGGGAGTTGATATTTGACCGTCACGAGCCAATAGAGAAAAATAAAGAGCATAGTACATTATGCGAGATGAATGCAATGAAAGCTCTAAAACATGTAATGAATATGAACGTGTATGTATTACATAGCAGAGACTTTAATATGGACAAAGGAAAGTATGTGCATATAGGAGAGAGATGACTGAAACAGATCATTGACTGAAAACGACATGGGTCTCCCACCTGAAACAATAGGATAAAGGCAAGACGACAATCATGAAAGAGCAGAATAAACTAATCTTATTAATAAAGTAAAATCTTATTAATATTATAAACGCGAAAGTTTGTGAGTATGGATGGATGTTTCTTACTCTTCACGGAAAAACTACTGAACGGATTTTGATGAAACTTTACAATAATTCAGAATGACATATAGGCTATATAAAATTCACGCGGGTAAAACTGGGGCACAGCTAGTGCTAAATAATCCTCAGTGAAAAAGGAATCTAACTATCTGTAAGAGTTGACAATAATAATAAATATATTGTCAATGTATTAATTTGACAGTAAATTTTGCTAAACGCATCTTGTGGTTGGGATAGATACTGTAAAACGTAACATTAATAAAATTATTACAATAAAGTGTAATGACGACGTTGTGAAAAATAGAAAATGATTATAACTGAGTAATAATATGAATATTAGATGTAATAAATGTGTACAAGTATTATACTTAGATGTTGTTCGCAATATAACAATGACATCAGCGCGTTGGTGAATTGTGTATAATGGCTGTTTTTGCATTGTATATTGCGTTCACTTTGTAACTTAACAAATTAAATGTAAACCACTTTATGGTCAAATTTGTTAATTTTAAATCATCTATTAAATATATATTTGTGTGTGCTTATAGCCAAGCCTTTTAAGCTAAAGCATATATATATGTCTGTATTTCGATAAAAAAATATAGTGTATAGTCATTTATACTACCCATATTACTAGTTTCATTAGCTTGATTGACGGATCGCTGGTGTGATTAGGGTTTAGTTGGAGAAGATTGTATAAATAATGAAGCTACCATTAAAATAATTATAGTAAGTTATAGTGGACTCTAAGTTATAGACAGAGGTTCTATAACTATTCGATTTTTTAAAAGAATAAGAATTTAAAGTTAACGATAATTATTTTAATGGTAGTTTCATTATTTATACAATCATCTTCACTCGTCCTAACTATTGGTATGTATTTAGGTACATTTAAACTCGCCGGTGACTGTGTATTTAATTTTGTACAACGTACAGAATTTTTACAAGGGCAACTGTTTCTATTTATGATGCTACCGTGGTACGCGCTACTATGAGCGGGAATACAATGCATTTATCGACTACAATCTGGCCATGTCTACAGAATCTGCCAATTGTAAGAAAATATTTGAACAATGAGTATGTTTTAAAAAGTGTGTTATGATAAAAAAAAAACTTTATATGTGTTTTATTATGCATGACAATTTTACAATTTGGAAGTGTGTATTCACACAAAATTCTTAAAAGTGTAATTCTGAACGTCATTCATTTAAAAGGGCTACTCGCAAGTTTTATGCTCATTCTTTTGACGGGTCCTGCGTTCCGAATGAGTAGTATAATAAAAAAATATGACTATTCAAAGTGATCATTTGAATAAAGATTATTTCTAGACAAGCTGATGGTCTACCTAATTATTCGGTCACCGTCGCCTATATACAGGAACTGCACCACGTTATCATTTGACACCTGTGATGTGATACCTATCATCCGTCGCCATTCCAGAGGAATAAGATGTCACGGCTCTTATCTGGTATTTTCACTGGCTAATCTAATCCTATAATTCAAACATAATTTGGACACGTAAAAGACAGTAGCATATAAATTTATTATTACGTGGAAACTGTCTAATTAATATAACAATAAAATTAATATTAAATCTAATTTAAAGTTCAGCGATATCTATATTTAAACTTGTATAATTAATATCTTAGTAGGTACATTGTAAAAGCAATTATAATTAAGTAATTATTTTGGAGTAAAATTGTTCATTAACATTTGAATGTCAACACGTAATACGCAAATACATACTTAGTTTCTTTGTTAAGCAACTAGATGGCGCTGCAGTCAAATTAAAACGCGCTAGTAAGATGTTTTTGTGGTTACATATAAGGTTATGGAGCAGAATTTGTAGTCACTCTGGTTTCCCTTCAAAACGCATAAATCTTTCGCCTTTTACTAAAGATTTCCGTGGAGGGGAACACTCAAATGAGTCTAAATATTATTTTTGACAGCTCTGCAATAGCAGGGCTATATAAATTGTAAAATGTAATATAACTCTGTCAAGTTGCAGATTATAATGTATATGAATTTGTTGAATTGTTAACAATAAGCATACTGCTTTTGTTATACAATACAATATAAATTTTAATATAAATATTTTATTTATGAGTAAGGCTGTGAACATTTGATATAAAATTAAAAATCTATAATTAAATAATGGACAGATTTTTTAAAACTAATATTAACGGTTTAAAGACTACTTATTTTAGGTAACCACTGGGCTTTTTTTTACTACCAGCATTTTTCTTTTGTCCATGAACACTCAGTCTTGTATTTTAAACCATAAAAATATGTCTGTCTAATTGAATTTTGTTGTTATTGTATTTTTGATCTAGAGATCATACTAAAAATGGTGAGCATCAATAAGACAAAAATATATATTATGTACACTATAATTTTGATAGAACAATAATTCAATATTCTCTCAAACACTCACAAAATAACATTAATGATAGAATTCTTTACTATATATCCAGATATTGAAGCAAATAAGTTTAAGTTTAAGTGTTTTTGTATTAATTGTAAGTAATAATTGTAGTAACTTTAAATAGTAAGGTATATTCAAAACATTTCAGTCAAAATAGTAAAATTACCATAATATATTTATGAATTGGATTGTGTCTATCTGACTAAGCATAAATTACCTATGCAAATTATAAAATTAATTCTAAATATAATAATGTATGTTGTATAGATCATACATGGCTTGGCAATAAAGTTCAGTTTAGTTTAAACAGAACTGCTGGAGACAATGTGGAAAAGTTTTATTAAAATGTGTTTTATATTACATAATAATATATTCTTCTTAAGGTTTCATGCAACACTTTGCAACATTCTAGATGTATTCTTTACTTTTTTATACAACTTGAGACCTAACATATTAAATTTATTATACTGTCTATTATCATTTATACCTCAAATATGAAAGGAAATATGCCTTTATTAAAATAACAATAAGTATTTTTTTTATTACTATTAAGTTTACAATACAGTAACATTACACAATATGATTATAATTAAAATATTTACATTGGTGTTTTCATGAGTGAAAGTTAAATATCCTAATTCAATTTATGTTCTCTCTGTCCTACTCATGGGATAGGTAAAGCAAAGAGAGGGAGAAAGAGATCTTTGTTTTGTTTTATTTTCAAATAGTTTTTTTTTATCACAACAACCTGTTTTTAGCTGCACAGGAGTAAGTAATGTTTTTATATGATATCATTTTAAAATATTTATTAATGTTTTGACAGGTAGAAATTGTTATTTAATTAATTATGAAGATAAATCATCATAATGCAAAGTATTCAATTTATAGCATAGTTAGCTAAGATGCATTTTTACGAATGAATAGATACTAAAATATAATTATTATTTTAAAGTTTATTACTTAAAATTATCCGAAATAAAAGATATGGAACTGACCTGCGTAGCAGTTACACCACAATCCAGTGTCTCATGAATTAGTAAACAAAGACTTCTAAGCACGAATGATTTTTCAATCCTAGTGCATATTCAGAAAAAAATTCCACTATGAATTTCACATTTATTATAAATATTTACAACAGCTGTTCACATAATGTTTACGTCTAGGGAAACCACGATAAGACGTACCAAACGCACTGAAATAAATTGACAACAGAATGTTTACATCAATACACTGTACACTTCGCAGTCGCAGTGTAATCGTATCTGTTTCTATACTCCACTAATGTTTTCTACGCACACAATCAAACTTTACTTGTTGTATGTGTATGTATGTACGAAAAATATTGACTGCTGTAGTGGGGATGAAAGGGGTCAATGACGTTTTACAACTGACTGCTGCTAAAAGAAGATGGTATGATATACACTACAGTAATCTAGACAGAGACAAAAATACAACACTGCAATTGGTATGTGTGAACACAAAAGCACGCACACTGCACACGATGTCTTTTTTTTAATAGAAGTTAGTTTTCATTGACGTGCATGTAATTCATAGATGTTTGGCTAACAAATAGTTGCCAGTCAATTTTCGTTTTGATATAATATTCCAATTTTCTTGATAATATAAAGTTTTACATAAGCTGATAAGTGTAAAAATTGTGATGATTATTGTTTGTAGCTGCAAGTTGCATAGGTTGGGGGTAAAAAAACTTAGAGTATAGCCTATCATTACCACGGCCGTATAAATTAAACTGAGTTTACTGTAGGCTTGTCTTACATTAATTTATATTTTGGAATATAACTTGCATGTTGTAGTTAGATTACGACTTCATTGAAATAAAAGCCATGAGTAGCCATGATTCCATTTTACAACATCACAATTTACTGAATGTTGCTAAAGTCTCGCTACCATTCTTACCTTCTTCTGGTATCATATATTTAAGATTTATGTTGACTTGTATCAATTTAATAACAACATTACTATTTTTTCATTGTTTTAAGACACTTATAAGATAAAGCTAAATGTTTACATTTTAGTCATGTCTGTAATGACTGCTGATATAAGATGCCACATTCGTCATCTACTAATGTCATATTTAAATATTAGAATAACACATTAATGTAGAATATAAATTATTGTGTGTAACCGAAAAGTCACTCGTTTTCTTATTTCTTATGTTATTTATAATGTAATCGACAAAGTGTATAGTGATGTGATATGATGACTTTTATTTTTTGGACTTGAATAAATCGAATATACACTATGAATCATTAGTTTGCATTATCTAGGCAGTATGGGACATGAGCTTCGCCTATCTGAATTGACACCTTTTAAAACAACAACAGCTTGTTTGACATTACACTGATTACTGCTCTCTCTCTTATTCTTTCTTTGCTTGTGACTTAAGCTTTTTAAGTTACTTCTTGTTTGTTATGGTTTTTTATTAGCATAATAGGTGTAATAGGTAATTAATAATTTAATATATTTAATGTTATACTTCCTTAACAAAATATATTTTCACTAGCTTCTAATGTACTATAAAGTTATTTTTTAATTATATGTCCTTTCTCTTTGCATACTACAGTATCAGTGATACAATATTATGAAAATTAATTTTAACTGCCATAATTCTGTTAATGATATTATCTCTCTGTACATGGAATTATCAGTACTTATACAAGAAGATGTAAGTTTTTGATAGTCCGGCAGGTTAGTTACGATTTTGTTTATATTCACTATAAGGAACTGCTATAGAAACCCATTCCAAATTTAGGATGCAAGCAATAATTTATTTATCCACAGTATATAAACAATGTGCATTGGCTCAAATATTGCATTAAGCTCTTTAGTAGTTTCACATTGACAGCCTTATTAAGTAGACACATTCAGGCAAAATTTATTTATCAATAAAAGTTTTTTTATATAAACTAATTTATTTCACAAGTACTTGTGGACTATGTATTTTACCGCCATCTGTTTTATGTTTTATTGATTACACAATATAGTCTGTTATTTTTTTAAATTATCAACTTGTTCTAAAGAGTTTTAAAGTAATATTATCTGTGATAAGCAGTTTAGTTCATAATATACATCAAAATCAAGTGTAAAAACATATAAAGTAGTATTATCATTGCCTTGCCTTTATTCCATTATTTGATTATAAATATTATAATTTTTCAGGATGTTGCATCAACTCAAATCTTCTGTATTGTATTGTACAAGGATAGGACGAGCATCTTTATCCTCTAAAACATTTGTACATGTAAAATTCTCTAGAAAAATTGATAAAACTAATTTCTTCTTTAGGCAGGTAAGATTATTTTTTTATTAAATATTCTTTTTTAATGTTTGACAACTTAACTACTATGCTGTTTATGTATATTTATTTACCGTCAGATGGGCAGTTAACTTGTTTGCCATTCCTATTAAATAAAAAAGTAGATTAATAAGCTGTAATGATGGCAATTTATCATTCTTAGTGTCCATGCCTTGTGTTTATAGCTATTTGATCCAGTGAGCTGCACCTACACTTATGTATTGGGTGATATAAATACTCGGGATGCAGTCATTATTGATCCCGTACTTGAACATGCAGAGAGAGATGCTGGGCTTGTGAAGGAATTGGGATTAAATTTAATCTATGCAAGTAAGTGAGTTGGTTTATTACTTTCAACCTTTGTTTGTTTTAAACAAACTAATCAGATATCATTGATGAAGTGTACTTGTCAATGGTATAGTGATGACAAATAGATAGTGATACTTTACTAATATTGACTGGCCTTGCATTTATAATTGTTTGTCATTAAGTTTAAATGAAGTGGTTGTAACTCATACCTTAAGCGGCAATAAAAGCTGTATGTATTAATTCCCAAGTCACAACCATGTAATTAAAAAAGTTAAATTAATGGATTTTTGTTACTAAAATTATTGAGTTGTATGGATGGCGATCCGTTGTATTTGTTATTCATTATGTATTAAACAGTATTGTCCTAGCTGTTCCCGCAGTTTTACTCATGAAATTTATTGCCTATGTGTTATTCTGATGTATAAGCTATATTATTTTAAAGTTTTATTGAAATGCATGAAGAAGTTTTTGACTGAAAGAGTAACAAACATCCATACATTCATCCACACTCACAAACTTTATTTATAACTAGCTGTGCCCGCCATTTCACCCACATGAAATTTATAGCCTATGTGTTATTCTGATGTATCAGCTATATTACTATAAAGTTTTATAAAAATCCGTTCAGTAGTTTTTGTATGAAAGAATAACAAACATCCATCCATCCTCACAAACTTTCGCGTTTATAATATTAGTAAGATATACGTTTATAATAGTAGTAACATTATTATTATTATATTTTTCCAGTGAACACACACATGCATGCAGATCACGTCACTGGTACTGGTAAATTGAAGTCGTTGCTGCCAGGAGTTCGTAGTGTGATCGGCAAGGCTTCCGGCGCTAATGCTGACATCCACCTGCTGGATGATGATGTGGTAACATTTGGACAGCATCAGTTGCAGGCAGCTGCGACGCCTGGTCACACTAATGGATGTTTAACATACATATGTCATGAACAGGTTCGTTTGCAGAATATAAATTTGAGTAATATTATAAACCTGAAAGTTTGTGAGTATGGATGGATGGATGTTTGTTACTCTTTTACTCAAACCACCAAACGGATTTTGATGAAACATTACAGCTAATATAGCTTATACATCAAAATAGCAAAGGCTATAAATTTCCCTCTGTTTAATCATGTTTTTTGAAAACGATAGGCATTGGAAACATTTATCTAACATGGCAATGATAAGTTAACATAAGAACATAGTAAACATTAATTTATCCGTTAAATGCAATTCAGCAAGATAATGATGTTATCGTGTGATCGAAACCGAAACAGTATGTATCGATATGATATGACAGAACATAGGCATAAGATAATATGAATAATATATTGTATTCGATAAATATATAAAAGATTATAGATCCATTAAGTATAGAGAAAAGGGGTCGTCGGAAAACTGATTTGAGCATACTGGTTGTAAAAGGGAAAAAATAATTTTTAGTTTTATTATTGGAAAATTTAATTAATATCCATTCTATAGCTTTTGCGTGAAAGTGTAACAAACATCTACCCATCCATCTATTCATCAATACTCACAAACTTTCGCGGTTATAATGTTAGTAAGATAAGTGTACTATTTAATTTCCTCCTCATTACTTTTTAATGATGCCATGGCCCCGATAAAGACAAATGCAATTTTTTCCTAGAATGAACGACACATGTAATCCTTGACGTAACATGTAGGAATAGAATAGAAGGGAAGAGGGTAGTATCCAATTTTGCGACCAGTTTTGGTAGTCGAGTACAGGATGTTAGTATTGGGACATAAAAAAAAGTATTCAAGATATAAAAAACAAAAAATTTGTTACGGACCACCCTTTTCTCTTAGAGGTGTGAAAAATAGTTTACTATTCTCAGACATACTCACGATAGGGTACGCCGTTTTAGAGGACTTTTGTTACAAAACTCTGACACGAGTATTTTATACATTAGACTACCTGACCCCGTAAACGTGGTTTTACCATATAAATTAAAAACGCTATTAGAATAATAAAAAATAGGGGTTGGTGATAGAAATTTAGGGTTATATGTATTTTTTAATGTCACATTATAAAAAAATTGTGCAATAAAATTAAAAAAAAATGTTAGTGATGGACACCCCTTATCACTTAGGGGTATGAAAAATAGATAGTAACCGATTCATACTGAATGTGCATATAAAATTTCATAAAAATCGGTGAAGCATTTTTGGAAGAGTATGATAATTAACATTGTGACCCGAGAATTTTACATATAAGATGAAAACTTTAACCATCAGCAATAACTATTTTTTTTTATCTCCACCTTCCAGGGTATGGCATTCACGGGTGACACACTACTCATACGGGGCTGCGGCCGTACCGACTTCCAGGAGGGATCCTCCGAAGCCTTATACAGCTCGGTACACAAAAGGATCTTCACGCTACCTGACCATTACACACTGTATCCAGCACACGACTACAAAGGACTGACCGCTACCACGGTGGGAGAAGAGAAGAAATATAATCCTCGATTGTCAAAATCATTGCAGGAGTTCATAAAAATAATGGAGAATTTGAATTTACCGTACCCGAAAATGATTGGTAAGTTGATTTTTAGTCCATTGATTGGTAATTTACCGAGGTAGATTTTATACAAAAGCTGGTTAGTAACGATTTTAGCAAAGTCGTTAAGTGTATTTTTCGTTATTAACCGCATTTCATGCTTGGTACTTTCAGTACCCAAAAAGGATTGACCACAAACAACAGACAAATTAACTTGATAAAAATAGGCTCAACTATAAACTCCAAAAACAAGACCTCCTCAATTGTAGTTATTACACCTGACTTGACTATTTTAATGGACATGTATGAAAAGCATTATAAAATCCCAGAGGATGTAGGTATATTAAAAAAAACTACACAATAAAAAGGCTGAATTTTTCTTTTTTTTGTCGCAGTCGGATAACTAACCGTTAATAACCGCGTTTTATCAGTAGCTAACCACACATTTAGTTTAAAAACAGAAGCTAATGGTTAACCTCTGTCTTACCTAAGTCAGTATAAAATATTAATTTTTGTTTCAGATAAAGCTTTACCTGCTAATAGAGTATGTGGTATATATTAGTGTTAAATCAATACTAAAATGTCAGTCTGTCTGTCAAAATGCCTGGTTTTCGTGTATTTGGTTTTCAACAAGGAAATGACGTTTAGCGAATGAAACAAGTTTTGATGTAATATTATATGTAGCTTGAACCCTGAAGAAGTATGTCTCTCTTACAGTTTACTTACTGTTTAATATAGAGCGATGGTAGATCAATAACATCGGAGACAAATGAGATGTAATAAAATATAAGATAAGATTCGTGCAAAAGAGGCATGAATATAAAGTGAAAACACGAGGCAACAAGCACCAAAGACTTGAGCATGGAAAGATTGAATTAACGATGTTTTAAGGTTGAATGCAATGGGACCATAAATTCTTATTCCCATTCCTAACTAATCCCTGAAAAAAGAATTGCTAATTTTAAAATCATTTATATGTATGTTAATCTATAATGTATTTGTAATATGCGCCATTAGTAGCCTGAAACCAAGAAGTAAATAAAAAATAATATACCGAAAAGTGACGAGACAGTGATGTGGAAATTACCAAATTATTTTTTAGACTTACTTATTTAATTAAATGGTTGACTGGTATGTAAATAATAAATAAAAGATGATATACTATGGTATAAGTTATGGCATAAGGAAACCAGACTACCATATGCAATTGTATATATATGTATATATATATTTATTTATTTATATTATCTAACATAAATATTGTCGTTATCAATTAACATATAGATATTTTACAATTTTTTTCTGCACCATGGTTGACTTGTAGAAAATTGTACAAGATGTTAAGTACGCCATATATGTACCTTTTATTTAAGTACATTAAAGTCAAATCTAATACATATAATTATCGTGTTGCTGTGTTTTTTACGTAATTCCGAAACGGCATATCGGATAGGTCTGAAAATCGGCCAACACTATTTTTCATACCATTCAATGATCATTTAAGGGTTACCTATCCCTAAATATTTTATTTTTTTAACATTATTTTTAATTTTTATTTTATTAATATATATATATTACATATTGAAAATACTTAAAATTTTCACCCTTTTACGATCAATGCCTGTTTTATTATAGCGATATTAATACTTCAATCTATATGTCAAAACAACGTTTGCTGGGACAACTAGGCAATAATTAAAATTAATATTCCTTATGTCGTATCCTATACCAGTACTGTAATATTGAATGTAATGTTATAAATGATAATGGAATGGTGCACCCGCCTGCGCTAATGGTTTACGCTGGCGGGGTATAAGTGGATGATGATAAGATAAGCATGAGGGCAGGTCAATTAGCACATCGTGGTGAATTCACCATGACTTTATCATGATGGTTTCCAAGGGAAATCACGTGGAAGTCAAGCTGACATGGTACAATGGGATTATTAGTCCACATTACTATTACCTACGCCACTAATATTGAATGTAGCAGTAGTGACTGTTCATAGTCTGTGATAAAGCAATGTGCTCAATAAATTATGAAATAATGAGTTAATATTTTTAAATATGTATATTTTGTTAACAAATATGTTATAGAGTATATTAAAAATATTTTATTTATATAATCATTAGTTAAGCAAAAATAAAAATCAACTTGTTAAAAATTAAGACATAAATGTTTATTACTATACTTTAATTATTTTTGTTGTGTTTTTTGATAAAATTCTTATAGCGGGTTAATAAATGTTATGTTCAATCCCTCTTTATGTGGTTTTTACTTACTCAATGTATAGCCTATATGTTATTCTGAGGCATAAACTATATTACTGTAAAGTTTCATCCATATTCGTTCAGTAGTTTTTTCCTGAAAGAGTAACAAACATCCATCCATACTCACAAACATTGGTATTTATAACATTAGTAAAATTATCTTATTCGTGCTAAGAACAATTGTAAATGAACTAAAAGAGAGAAAACTCATGAAAGTAATCCATTTTCTCGAATATGCAAGGTGGAATTTGGATGCATTCATTTTGAAGGGCAAGTGCTTCTCACTTAGAAAACGATTTTTGTCTGAAACTCAGCAAGCTCTTGTTTTTTAGAACTAATACAAGTTGGTACATATATTCAATTTTGGTTCAAATCTCGAAAAAGCCGTGCCAACTTTTAAAAAGAGCTTTGTTAATTGCGTAATGATTAAGTGCTGTCGAAGTGAAACCTAAACAGCTGGCGGTTCGAAACAGGACGACAAAAAGAGGCGCTTCGTACGTTCACACAGCCGCTGCCAGGGATCAGCCCGGTCCTGCATAGACGTTTGATAAACTTCAGAATGTATAGAAATATATAACATTGAAGTTTGTAATTTACAGCATTAATAATATCCCCAAAATTTCACACAGTGCCATCTAGTTCTAAGGAAAACATCTTGTGTTATGGATACTAATTTTTTTTTTGTAAATACGTACATAATATGTAATGTATGCAAACACCTAGACCGATACAAACAATTATACTCATGTATACAAATCTTTGTACCGAGCGAAGAATCGAACTCGCGACCATCGGAAGTAAAGGCGTGTGCAAACCGCTAAACTACCGAGGCCGTTAATATATAATATTATATTATTATAATATTTTCAATAAATGCATATACTAAGTATAGGTGGTACTAAGATACATAAAAAAAAAATTGTCTGTCTGCCCGTTTGTTCTTGTTAAACGAAACGGTTAGCCGATTTTGACGGAATTCCACTTTCAGACACCTAATGTTATAAGAGTTGACTACTTATGGCGAGTGAGGCTACAATTATTTCGTGTATTTTTTTATATCCCGATGTCGGCAAAGAAATGTAAATTCACGCATCTTATTCTGTAATATCAGCTCACATCTGTTAGTACTCTACGACAAACAGCATTAGAAGCGGGTAGGGGATTGTTAGTAATGTGGACTAATGACCCTATTACTAGTAATGCACCATGTCCGCGGTTCGCCCTGGAAACCATCGTTATAAATTCTTGGTGAATTTGTCACGATGGGCTAACTGACCTGACTTCATGTTCATCTTCATCGTCCACTGGTGCCCCGCTAGCGTAAACCGTTAGCGCAGGCGGATACATCATTCCATTATCATACATAAAAAAAAACAGCATTAGAATAGTTCGAAATAAAACAATTATTTATACAATTAGATTTTAAATATGACTGTTTTTATTACATAACTCATCCATAAACCAATAGTATAGAATAGTTATAATAAAAAACTAATTACTTATACAACAAACTTGTATAGTATCTCTTTTTTATTACATAACTGACCCATAAAACGAAGGTATGTTATACTTTATTTATTTCATAAGTAATGGTAAGTTAAACACCATAGAGATCGTATCCTTTGGGATTGGATTCGCGCATGGCTATAACGTACGATAATAGCGAATGCATATTGTATGAGACATATATATGTGCACTCTCAATATCGAATAACGAAATGGTATTCGCAGAATTAATACAAAAACAACGTTTCCACATAAAGGAAACAAATTTTGTTCATCTATAAACTACAAATAAATAGAAGGATCTTATATGTATAAAATTTAAAGATATATATATATATATCTATGAATTTAATTTTCTGAATTAAATTCAAATTCAAAAATCTTTTATTCATGTAGGACATTTTAGCCGGTTATGAACGTTAAACTTTTTTGTATTATATTTTTTCCCTGAATGAAAGTAATACAACACTTACATATAAAAAATAAATAAAAAAGAAATTGTGTCACGGTCTGTTTGTTCTTGCTAATCTCTAAAAAGGCTGGATCGATTTTTTTTAAATGTATCCACCTCTTTGTTGAATTCAGTATTTTGTATACTTTCGTATTAATTTAGTGAAAAGCTGTGTTCATTTGAAATTACAAAGAGACACTTCAATTTTATTTATTTGTATAGATTATAAAGGTCATCAGACTTCTATGCAGGGTGCCGGGGGAGACCAGGGCAGACCTACGGCAACGCCAGTGTGCAAATCCTTTACGTATCGCCTCTTTTTTAGTATCAATAAATAGGCACAAACGAATGATTGCTGTAAAAAACATTGGACGGCAGGGAAAATGTATTAGTATAAAAACGTGACGTTACAATTAGCAGGCTAAAATGTCCTATATGAATAATTAATTTTTAATTTGATTTGATTGGCCAAATGAAATTCAACAACAAACATTTTTTTATTGTCATAGGCACAGTGTCCTACTTTACTTAATATGTGACGTCCCGCGCACTGCGGCAAAAGAGCGCGAACGCCCTTGCTCTATGCAGTGTGTTTCTGGCTGTCTCTATAAAATCTATACTCGAATTAGTCCACCAGTCACGATTCGCGCCAACTTTCTAAAGTAATAAGGCACGCTGACTTGCCAATATCTAGGACATAGGTCTACAATTGAATCTCCTATTCCTGAAGATTCACTCATCAGGAAGGTCAATGAACATTAGTCAGTCAGATTGATTTACTGCATTATTAAATATTTTTTACGTTTCATTTATTATTTACATTCATATTATTTCATTTATATAATAAAGAAGTAAAATAGTTGAGGTAATAACTGTCTGTTGGTCTGTATTCCACATTAAGATGGTTGGAATTAGGATGGATTTTTTACAAAATATTTAATAAGTGTCAAAAGATAGACAAAAAAATCTATGAATATTTTACTGTACAGATTGAAATAATTTCGTGAACATTTTCAAGATGCCACTTACTTATTTTATTAATCAAATTTATATATTTTATTATTTTTGTACTAAAATAATAGATTAAATAGATGCTTCATTTATTGTCGTCTGATTATCATGAATTGAGCAAGATAAAAATATAAATTACTTAAAAGTAATATTTCTAACCTTCTTAATTCAACACCATATTTTTAGATTGACGGACACGCGGTTAGGCACTCCGCGTTACTTTCAATGGACACGGATTCGATTCCTAGCGCGATGCAAACAATTGTAGGTATTCATGAGTACTTAAGTTACATCTGGCCTAGTAGCCATAACACAAGCTCTGCTTAGCTTGGGACTAGATGACGCTGTGTGAATTGTCTTAGGTTATTATTATTATTACTTTTATTTGTAGGTTTACTTACAAAGTTAAAACTTCATCAAGATTAAATGTATTCTATCCTTTTGAGTTTTTATAGCTTTGCTCACCTTAGTCTGCAATAGGTACAGG